GGAGGTCGTCGGCAGAAATCAAAGAGTGTGCCTGTTGGCCCAAGACGAAGTGAAAATGGGAAAGGAAAAGGAGGATGCTCCCCTCCCTCTGATATTCCTTCCCCCCGTCCCATTCTTTTACGGTTGCGCTGGTACCCTACGACTCCACAACTGCGTATAAATAATGACAGATGACAGGGGATGGGTCAGGGTAAATATGGTGTAAGACATGTCAACATGCGAAGCGAATGGGCAAGGAGAAGAATTCATGCACTGGCATTCATATACATGAGAACCACTGGTAACAGCAAAAAAATTCGCGAAGTTTAACTCATTCGACGCAAGAGGACCAAGGGAGAGCGCAGATCTAGAACTAAACCAAGCAAAGCCTGACCCTCCCTCCAACCCCTTTTCGTGCACATCTCTTCATCTCGACTCCGATGTTTCAAACTGTTGCGTCAATATTTACTAAATCAGATCTGTTGCTGTGTACTGCTTACTAATTTTTAATGCAAAAAATCCCGCCATTGCAAAACAAAAAACTGATTAGATTGATATGAAAGATGTTAAGGTAAATAATAATGATAATAACAATGATGGAATCTAGACTCTAGAGAAGGCAAACTGAGTCAATGTGTCCCAACGTAGACCTGTGGACGAATGCTCGGCAAGTTTTCTGTGACTTCAGTGTATGAATCATTTTCTTCTGAAGTAACCTTCGTCATTTTATGACAGCTTTTTATTCCTAAGAAGGTCCCTATTTGTGTAAATTTATACGGCGTTATCTTTGAATACTTATCAAAAATGCCTTTATACGTCCATCTCGGTACTTTTATCATTGAATAAGTAAAGAAATGCACCCAACCCCAGCCCTTCCAAAAATTGGAAACTTATGCAGAACTTCTAGAATACTAATCCGACCGAGTCCAGATTCGGTCCCTCTTAAATTCTTCGTTTAGCAGAATCGAAGTTGTCTAAAAATAACTATACTACCGAAACAAGTAGACTGCTTTCCCGGAGACGTACGTGACAGTTGTTGTTAGTGACAAAGACAATCGTTTTTGGTAACGTGACTAAGTTTATACCGCGTTATCTTTGAAAACTTATCAAATCTGCCCTTTATACGTCCATCTCGGTACTTTTATCATTGAATAAGAAAAGGAGTGCACCCAACCCCCTTCCAGAAATTGTAAACTTATGCAGAAGTTAACTGCTAATACGACCGAGTCCAGATTCGGTCCCTCTTAAATTCCTCGTTTAGCAGAAGTTGTCATAAAAAAAACTATACTACCGAAACAAGTAGAATGCTTTTCCGATGACGTGTATGACAGTTGCTCTTAGTAATTAGTGACAGAGGCGATCGTTTTTGGTCAAGTGACTAAAAAGATGTTAGCACAAATGGCATACGCACGTAATAATATTCCTTCGCATTTCTTTGCCCACGCTTTTGCTGTCTGTCGTCGTTTATCCGCTTTCGTTTAGGGATACAACATGATTCAGCTAAAAGTATGGTATGTTATTTCTTTTCAACTAAAATCCAATCGATTATCACACATCTTAGGCTATCGTCTACGCTTTTACCACGGATATAAGACCTTCCTTGGAATGCGATCACGTGCGCTTACGTTTTAGGCATCAGGGTTAGATCACGAAGGGTTTAATTTCAAATGTTTCTCTCCAGCGGCAACTGTTTGGCGCGTCTCCGAAAAAAAATGTCTGTCTGTTTTGGTAGTAAGAGTTACAATTTTTTTTTTCAAGATAATAAATCGATATCACTCTTGACCCCAGACCCCTCTCATGGAAGACCGGAAACACTCGATGTGGGGACTTCATTACCAATCAGCATAATTTTTCAAGCACGTTTACATAAAGCAGATGAAAGGATTCAATCAGATTATAAATAAGCCGTCAAACTAGTAATGGGAGTTTTCTAAGTCGATGAAGCGCCTCCTGCATCCTGTGACATCTCATAGCGTCTATATGAAGAATCTGCGGGGATGCGTTCTCAAGGTAGCCACAATCAAACTATCCTTAGAAAGGTTACTTGAGTGGTCCAAAGTGGGGTAAACCAATAGCCGTAAAACGGCCCAGAAAATTAGCCATTAAGCGTACAAAATGATAAATTTCAACCTTAAATCGTAAAAAGATTTAACCTAGAAAAAAAAATTTCTGGTAACAATTATGGAAAGATATTAACCGTTAGCCGCTAATATTGGCCAAAATTTGAACCGGTTAGCCGTAAAAGCCATCACCCCATTGAGACCCTCTTCATAGTAATGCCAAACTAAAGGTTTAGATTCTTTCTTTATTGAAGTACAGTACTTTCCAATGGGGAATCTGAGGGAAGGACCCGAGGGCCCCACCCCCTACTTATTTCGGGGAAAAAATAAAAGCGGAAAGAAGAAAGCTAGTAGCCATACATACACAAATAACTACCTTCCCTCCCCCCCACTTGCCCAAAGTCTGGATCTTCCACTGCTTTCAGTGTCCTACTACCCAATATGTAACCAGCTTCCTGGGAAACTCCAGAAATTTACTAATTCCTTTCATTGGGAATGTAAACCTGATTTCAAGGCGCTCCTGATGAACGCTTGTCAACTTCTGCCAAATGCCAAATAAATTAGAGCAATGAAAACATTCCAATAAGAAATGATTTGCGCGTGCGGCTTTCAGTGATCATCATTAGTATTCATTGGCAACTTCCTGCATTCCACTTGCTTTTTATATCAAATATCAGGTGAGTAACGCAGTCGTGATAGCATTGAGTTGCATTGAGTTGCGTTGAGTTGTGCTAGCAACGGAGCAGTCACTGAGTTGAAGTGCCATTTAAGAAAATTCGATATGGCTGCTAACGAACAACAAATGACTCCACTGGAAATCGAAGATACCAGTTGCAAACAACGCCAAGAAGAAATAGTTGATGAGCAGGATCCTTCTATCGGTCCGGTGCAAGTAAAGCCTCCCTCAAGACCTCGACGAAAGGTCATCGTAATTGGTGCTTGTATTATAGTGGTTGTTATAGTTATTGTTGCAGCAGTGCTTATCGGAATTTGCGTTTCGAGAAAAGACGAACCTAGCGACAATGGTAAAAATAAAAGTAAGTATTTACTTTACTTGTTTCATGATAAATTCAATAGTGGATGTCCGAAGTCGCAGTAGTAGCCGAAGTAGTGGATGTTCGAAGTTCTTGTTGCATTCGTCTGAACAGCATTTCGAAAATTGTTGCGATTGAAAGTTGAAATGCTGCGATCTTTCCGTGTGTATGATAAAACTGTGACTTTCGCACTTCATTTTCAAAGACAGAGTACTTTATTTTCTTTATTGATTGATTTATAGCTGTGAACGAGGGAACTGGGGAAGGAACAGAGAGCATTCGAACGTCGACTGTAGGTAAGCAGAATCATGCAAGCTTAAGTATAGACGTGTGCTAATCGAACAGTTGGTCATGGAATCCATATGGGAATATGGATAACGTTAGAATCCATTGCGGGCGTGGAACTGAATCATATTTATATAAGTGTTGAGTTCGACCAGATTAGAGATTCTAATTCATGACTCCAGGCCTGAGGGCTGATCATTGAATTGACAATACAAAGCATAATGGCGCCGTGATAAACATGATGCTAGAAAGACGGTCAAAATAAACATTGTCAACGTACGAGAAGCAGTCGAAATTTGTCAATGAGGAAGTTATAAACTGGCTTTTCTTTTGTTTGCATTTGATACACTCTGACTCAGTGCACATAGTTAATCAAGGGGAAACGATTAAGAATGGACTGCATGAATGATTGATAGCACTGAAGTCCTGTTACTCCAGGCCAGCTAACTCGGATTTGTTCATGATATCATGGGAGTAACATTACTTTTAATTATTTACTCGCTCCAAACGTAATTATTTCAGTAAAGATTACAGGTGAGCCTTCAATTCTACTCGGTAAATAATCCGTCTTGATGTACAATTTGTTGAAGCTTAAAACTAACATGCAGCTAAAATCAAACAAAGAAGCTTTCCTAAGTGAAATTGGAATGTTGGAATGGGACAAATGTTTTGAGAGTCTGTGAACCCCCTTGACAACAGGTTTGAATATTTTGCGTCCACTTGCGCACAGATGTCTCTTTATGACTTTTCGGTGTTGCTCATCGATTAAAGAGAATCTGTAATCCTAGTACCTGCTCAGTCAAACGTATTTCGATAAGTTCGGAGCCTGAGAATGATGAAGACTGAAATTGTACTGCCTAAATAGTTGCGTTGTCATTAAGCGTCTAGTTTATGAGCATTGGTTTCTCGTCACTGAAATGAACAATTGCACTTATGAATAATTCGAGCTTTTCGATTTTTGTAAGGTAGACAGAACAAACTAACATTCGTGAGTACCTAGTGTGCCACCAAACTTACAGTTTAAATTATTACAATTATTTTTATTATAATTTTAAACAAAGGACAGAGAGAAAAAGAAAAGATGATCCGAATATATTCTCTCTAGTTCTAGCTGGTGTGACCGGAAGTTGAAGGTGATCACAGATAAACGAAGAAAAATAATCCCTCGATCATCTCACAGAGGCTGCTGGTAAAGTAGTTAGAAAAGAAGAGAAAATTAAACATGTAACATGTTTACACGATTTCATTTCTCTGCAGAAACTACGATCGCCAAAAGTAGTGCAGTGCTATCTCACTTCTCTGCAGAAGCTACGATCGCCAAAAGTAGTGCAGCGCTATCTCACTTCTCTTCTGCAGAAGCTAAGACCGCCAAAAGTAGTGCTCCGCTATCTCACTTCTCTGCAGAAGCTTCCATCGTCAAAAGTAGTCCTTCGGCTACGAAATCCTTTGAGGTCACTTCTTATACCCCTTCACATTTTCAAAAGACGACGCCGCCACTTCTCAAGATGACATCTACCTCCCTGGTATCGTTTTCGAGCACCGACCTCCCTAGTGCCAGCACAATGTTTAATGGAACAACGCCTCTGCCCTCGAATACCATGTCACCGATTGCATCGCCCACTAACTCGTC